TTCTCTCTCTCTCTCTCTCTCTCTCTCTCTCTCTCTCTCTCTCTCTCTCTCTCTCTCGCTCTCTCTCTCTCTCTCTCTCTCTCTCGCTCTCTCTATCTATCTATCTCTTTCTCTCTCTCTCTGTCTCTCTCTCTCTCGCTCTCTCTCTCTCTCTCTCTCTCTCTCTCTCTCTCGCTCTCTCTATCTATCTATCTCTTTCTCTCTCTCTCTCTCTCTCTCTCTCTCTCTCTCTCTCTCTCTCTCTCTCTCTCTCTCTCTTTGTCTATTCCTTTCTCTCTCTCTCTCTCTCTCTCTCTCTCTCTCTCTCTCTCTCTCTCTCTCTCTCTCTTACTCTCTCTTTCTCTCTCTCTCTCTCTCTCTCTCATTCCCTCTCTCTTTAACCATATTTCTTTCTCTGTCTCTATCTATCTGTCGGTTTGTCTGTGTGTTTGTCTGTCTGCCTGCCTGTGTGTCTGTGTGTCTGTCTCTCTCTCTCTCTCTCTCTCTCTTCCCTTTCAAACAATTCATGATCTGCTTCTCCACGAACATATGTTTGCTTAAACCCAACAGCTGTCACGGACACGATGTAACAGACTCCGACGGCCTTGTAATTGCAATATCAATATAACAACGAAACGATATTACAAGTTATCGACATGTTTAATACGGTGCTCGACTGCCTTCGAATCGAGAGCTAAAATTGGATCACGAGCTTTTTGCTGTAAACAACCTAGTTTTGAGTGTGTATTTAGATAGTTAGAGAGATAGGTGGGTAGTTAGGTAGATAGATAGATAAGTAGATAGATAGATGAATAGATAGACAGATAGATAGGTAGACAGATGGATAGGTAGGTAGTTTGATGGATAGATAGATAGATACATGGATGGATAGATCGATATAGATAGATATAGATATAAATACACAGATAAACAGTTAGATATGTAATTTTGCAATAAAGGGTGAATGGTACTGAAGTATTGAATAATTATTGCTAATATTAGCTCACACATCGATAATCTGGGGCAGGGATTCCACCGTAAGGCTTAAGCCGGCATTGATAAAGTGTGTGTGCGTGAGTTTGTGAATGTACTTTGATATATATATATATATATATATATATATATATATATATATATATATATATATATATATTTATATATATATAGATAGATAGATATATATAGATAGATAGATAAATAGATAGATAGATAGATAGATAGATATAGATATAGATCTATAATTTGATTTTTTAATAAATAAATAAATATATAAATATGTATATACATATGTGCATATACATAGAGAGAGAGAAAAAAAATGTATGTATATATCAATATATTTATCTGTATGTGTATATTTACATGTTTATGTATATATTTGTATACCTATGCATGCTGAGGCATGTTTACACAAACATATACACACACACATATATATGTGTGTGTGTGTGATAATGATAATAATGATCATGGCAATAATAATGATAATAATGCTAATAACAACAATTATGAAAATAATGATAATGATAATGGCAGTAATAATGGTAATAATGATAACAACGATCATGAAAATAATGATAACCGAGGTGATGGTAAGAGCAATAATAATGAGGATGATAATGATAATGATACTGACAAAAAAAAATTATAAATGATAAAAAAGTAGTAATAGTGATTATAGAAATTATGATAATGATCACAAGGGTAATTATAATAACAATGATAATAATAATAATGATAATGGTGATGATAAGGAGGATAATAATAATGATGATAATAATAATAGTAATGATAATTATAATAATAATGATGATGATAGTAGTAATGATAATAATGATAATAATAATAATGATAACAACAACAATAATAATAACAATGATGATAAAATAGAGATGATAATAATGAGAATAATGATAATGATTATGATAACGATAACAATGATAATAATATGGATGAAAATAATATAAAAGCAACAATGATAATTATAACAATGGTAATAGTAATAATAATCATAATCAGAATAATAGTAATAATAATGATGAGGATAATGATGAAAATAATGGTAATGATGATAACAATGATAATAAGAATAAGAAAACTTAGAATGGTAATAACAACAATAATGATAATAATAATGAAAATGATAAAAATAATGATATAATAATGATTATATTAATAATAACAATGATAACGATATTAGTGATATAAATGTTGATAATAATAATCATAATGATAATAATAATAATAATGATATTAATGATAATGATGATGATGATAATATTAATAATAATGATAACAATAACAGCAATAATAATATAACAATAATAGTAATAATAATATATCAATGATAATGACAATAACAATAATGATAATAATAATAATGATAAAAATAATATTGATAACAAGGAAATAACTATAATAATGATGATAACAACGATAGTAATGATATTAATAATAAAAATGGTAATATCAATAATAATGATGATAATAATAATAATGTTAATGATAATAATGATAATGATAATAATAATGATAATGATAATAATCATAATCATAATCAGCATCACAATAATAGTAATAGTAATAATAACAATAGTAATGGTAGTAGTAGTAATAATAATGATAATGATAAAAATAGCATTAATAATAATAATGATAATAATAATAATAATAATAATAATAATAATAATAATAATAATAATAATAATAATAATAACAATAATAATAATGACAATAATAATAATAATAATAATAATAATAATAATAATAATAATAATAATAATAATACAAATACTAATAATTATAACAATATTAATGATAACGATAAGAAGAACAACGAATTAAAATAAATAACTGATTCTTCTAATTCAAATATAAATCGATAAACATCAATAACTTTATACCGTTATACATATGATAAGGATGATAGCAATGATGACAAGAAAGAGAATAATAATGATAATAGAAAAGAAACACATCCGTCATATGAAATAGTTACCGCGTCAATTTATTTGTAGAAAACGAGTATTGCTTTTTGGAAAGAAAATTTGCTCGTGAGTTTTATGGTAAACTAAGTTATTTTACTCTCATCATTATCATCATTATTATGATTATCATTGCCATCATTATCATCATAATCTAACTTATTGTTATGAACATCATCATCATCATAATTTACCTTACTGTTATCAACATCATCATTATCATCGCTGTCATTATCACACTGGCATCATTACTATCATCAAAATTATTATCATGCAAGATGCAGAATATGTCTGGCGGAAATTTAGTCCTGATCAAACGACAGAGATAGCATTCCTACTTAAATGGAACTGCGAGCAAAGAAAAAACTTAGGGGTCTTTACTTTGCTTATTTTATAGCTCCCAACCACATCCCAAATATGAATTTACGAGGGATACCACGGTTCATCAGCTCAGTGATCATTCCGGTTCACGAATTAATGAAATTGTAATTGCCATTTATATCTTATCTATCATTACTATTATGACTATTATTTTTTCAATTGAAATCATTACTGATAACAAGAAAAACAACCTGTGTGGAATGTGTGCGTGTGTGTGTATCATTATCATTATTATTATTATAATTATTAGTATAAGCACTACTATTATTCTTATTGTTATCATCATTATTATTATCATTTTCATTAAAATTAGTAATATTATTGTTATTATTATCATTATCATTATTATCTTTATCATTATTATCATTATTATTATTATTATTATTATTATTATTGTTATTATTATTATTATTATTATTATTATTATTATTATTATTATTATTATTATTATTATTATTATTATCATCATCATCATTATTATTATTATTATTACCCGTACTATTATCATCATTATTATTGTTGCTATTATTATTATTATTATTATTATTATTATTATTATTATTATTATTGTTATCATCATCATCATCATTATCCTTATCCTTATCATTATTATTATTATTATTATCATTATTATTATTATTATTATCATTATTATTATTATTATCATTACCATTACTATCATTTTGTTACTGTCATTATCACTATTATCATAATTTTTACTGCTATTATTAGTAGTAATATCATTATTCTTATTATCATTATCACTCTTATTATTACTATGATTTTCAGCATCTCTATCGTTATTCTTGTTATCAATGTTACCATTATGACTATTGTTATTGCTCTATTATTGATAACAAGGAAAACAGTGTGGTATATGCGTATGCCTGTGACTTTGCATCTTGTTTAGGAGCGACTGTTCTAATGACAATTTATAAGGATTCATTCTCGGCTTAAAATACCGTTGTGTCATGTCCCTGTTATCTTTACAAAGAACACGTGTACTGAGCACTTTAGGCGGGGGCTGGGGAGGTAGGGTGGAGGGGGGATGGAAGGGAGGGGAAGGTGGGGAGGAAAGGGGGTTGAGGTGGAAGAAGAGAAGAGAAGAAAAAGGAAGAAGATAAAGGGGATCTTATCATACGCGTTTATCAATATGGTAGAAGACAACTGATGTCCTTGAAAAGATATGCGTTATTATATATCATTGTAATAGTATCCAACACTACAGTATCTTCAAAACATTTAAAATTGCTTCTTACCAAAACAATGCACGTTCTTCATTACGCAAGTGTATAAGTAACACAGTCTGTTATCTGAGACGTCTTTGTTGAAGGATAAAGAAATATAATCTTTACTAATCTTAGTCAATTATTAAAATTTTAGTTATTGTCACGATCATTGTTGTACATATTTTAAGTACTAATGTTATCGTTAACTTTATTACTATTACCAATATAATAATAAGGGTAATTATCACAATTATCATTGTTGATTACATAATCGCCTTTGATTATTCTATCATCTTAATTATCACTGCCATCATTACTGTCACCATCATCGTCGTCATCACTCTTATTACCACCATTATTGTCACTTAATCCCAATAGACAGTAATCATCTTAATGGTGAAATAAGGAAAGGGCCGAGAAAGAAAACTTACAATGAAAACTTTATATTTATAAATCAACATTTACATCTATAAAATACACAAGGAATGTATAACTTTGTATAACTTTGATACAAATATAACTTTATTAGATTAGCATGAACAAGCATCAGCATTACGACTACGAGGGCGCGCGTTACTCCTCCTTCTTCTTGTGGGCCTCGACGTAGAAGCGGTCCATCTCCAGCATGGACTTGCCGAAGGTCTCGGGCATCGCGCCGTGGATCAGCACAGCGCTCACGCCCGTCACGGCCGCGTAGGCGAGGAACGTGGTGTGCGTGCCGAGGGTGGCCACGCTCCACGCGAACGTCTTGGTCACCAGGAAGGCGGAGGCCCAGTTGATGGCCACCACGACAGCGACTGCGACGCCGCGCACGCTGCTGGGCATGCCCTCGCCCAGGAAGATCCAGGGCACCGGGCCCCACCCGACGGCGAAGCCAACCATGTACGCGAGGAGGGCCACCACGGGCAGCATGCCCAGGCCCTCCGCCAGCTCCGAGTAGCTCCCGCCCGCCTCCTGCGCCCAGAAGAAGAACGACAGCGTCAGCAGCGAAATGACCAGCACGACGGTGGACGCGGCGATCAGGGAGCGGCGCTTGTACGTCGCCATGGCGAACATGCCCACGAAGGTGCCCAGGAAGTTGACCACGCCCAGGAGCACTGAGGCCGACCCGCCCCCCATGCCGCTCCCGCCCGTCTCCAGAATGGTCGACGCGTAGAAGACGACGGCGTTGATGCCAGTGGCTTGCTGCGTGAGCATGAGGGCGGCAGCCACGCCTACCGGCCACTGGTTGGGCGGCCGGACGATGTCCCACGCGCTCATAGACTGCCCTTCGTCCCGGCCGGAGCAGCTGGCGGAGATCTCCTCCTGCTCCTTCTCGGCCTGCTCGGCAGTGCACCGGAGCTTCCTGAGGGCCGCCAGGGACTCCTCCTTGCGGCCTGTTGGCGTTAAGGCTGGTTATTAGTCTCTGTTCTCCGCGCAGATAAAGAGAGAGAGAGAGATGGTGGGGGGCGAGGGAGCGAGAGATAGAGGAAGGAAAGAAGAATGAAAGAAAAGAAAGAAAGATAGAAAAAAAGAGAGGAAAGAAAAGAGACAAGACTCAAAGAAACAAAAAAGACAGAGATACAGAACCACAACCAAAAACACAAAAAAAAGAATTCAATCTTACAAAAACGATCTCCTGAAGGCAACCAAACCAACCAAGCTTCCTTCCCCTTACCTTTCCTGGTGAGATGATGGGGCGTCTCCGGCAGAGGAAGCAGAAGAAACGCCATAGGGACGCAGAGGGCGGCTCCCAACCATGCCAGACCGCGCCATGACAGGTACTGCCCCGCCGCGAAACTCACCAGCAGCCCTGTAGTTATTTATTCGCGTGTTATTTATGTCGTTTTAGCCTCGAATTTGCGTTTTATTATTTTTTATAGTGCGTTTTATGTAATAGTAATAGTAATAATAATAATAATAATAATAATAATAATAATAATAATAATAATAGTAATAATAATAATAATAATAATAATAATAATAATAATGATTATAACAATAATGATACTGATAATGATAATGATGTTATTGATGATGATAATGATCAGTCAAACAGAATCTAAACTAATTATATAAAAAATCAAATAAATTAAAGAAGATACAACTTCAAATCATCAAACAAAATCCAAATCAATAAAATAAAGACTAAGATCAATAAAAAAAAAAAAAATAATCAAACAAAATCTAAATCAATTAAAACCAAAATTAAAATCAATAAAAAAAAACATATAAACCTAAAATGAAGAAGAAGAAGAAGAAGAAGAAGAAAAAACTGACCCAGGTTCCCCAGAACTGCGGGGAAGAAGGCCATAACATCCCGGAGGTCAAGTTGGATCACCTCAGGCATGAAGACCGAGCCAGCCACCGCCTGCACGCCCACGCACACCCCGCCCACCATCCTTCCTAGGACCACGCCCCCGACGCCGGACGCCAGAGCGATCATCACCCAGGCTGGAAGGCAAGGGACTTGTTAAGGTCTCTCTCTCTCTCTATTTTTCTCTCTCACTCTCTCTCCCTCTCCCTTTCTATTTTTCTTTCTTTCTCTCTCTTTTTTCTTTCTCTTTCTTTCTCTCTCACTTTTTCTTTCTTTCTCGCTCTCTTTCTCTTTCTTTCTCCTTCTCTTTCTCTTCCCTTTTCTCTCTCTTTCTCTTTCTTTCTCTCTCTCTTTCTTTCCCTCTCTTTTTTCCTTTTTTTCTTTCTCCCTCTCTCTCTGCAGGAATTTGATCATTTCATCATTTTAATTTTTGTCTTTCTTATTATCTTTTCTCTTCTATCTTATCGTGACTTGTATACCAATTAGGAGTACTATCATTTTAATATTAATTATAGAGATTGACATCATCCTTATCAACACTGCTAACATAATTACTACGACTATAATATCAACAACAAATCTTCACCAATTATAACAACGCTGATATAAAAAACAGAATTAACATGGTACTACAACAACAACAACATTAGCAACACAGCAAAACCACACAAACACACACACATACACACACACACACACACACACACACACACACACACACACACACACACACACACACACAACGAAAAAAATAAAAGACAACAAAAAAACAAAGTTTCTCACACAACATGAAAGGAAGACTGAGGACGATAAGTGTGGTGCGTCGACCGAGCGAGTCCACTATTGTCCCTGTCACCATGCTCCCCAGCAAGGCACACGCAGGCATCACAGCTCCGACCCACGATTCCTGTTTATGGTGGTGGGAGAAGGGGGTGTGGAGGTGAAAATGCAGGGAGGAAGGGGTGGGGGGGTGAGAATGTGAGGAGGGGGAGGGGTGGGGTGAGAATGCGGGGGGGGAGGGGGAAGAGGGGGAGGGAAGAGAAAGAAAAATATTAGGATATTTATAAGGTTGTAGGTGAATGAGGGGTGTAATGCGTATGTGTGATAATAGGAGGGGGGGATGTGAGGAAAAGAGAAATGTTAGGAAGATATTAGGGAAAGAGAAATATTTGTAGATTATTTAAGAGGTCGTAGGTAAATGAGGGGTAATGTGTATGTATAATAATGAGGGGGAAAATGCGAGATAATTATTATTTTGTTTCATTTTTTTTCTTGGGGGGGGGGGGGGCTGAAATTTCCGTCATGGTGATAATGGAGAAAGAAAATACGAGATGAAAGTTTTTTTTTTTTTTTTTTTTGGGGGGGGGGGGACATTTGGTTCGTGTTCGGGTAAAACGAGAAGGAAAATGTGACATAAAATTGTCGTTTTTCGGGTGGGATTTTGATGTTCGTGTGATGGAGAAGAAAGAATATACGATTTTTTTCTTTCTCTTTTAGTTGGGGAGTTACATTTGGCGATGCTATTGTTACTTTGGTTAGTGTTCGTGGGATGTGAAAGAGAAAGAAAATCTGAAATCAAATTATTTTGCTTGGGAAATAATTTTATTGTAGGTCAGAAAGGAAAAAATATATAGAGGTCAAAATGTTTTGATTGACACTGGTGTTTGAGAAAAAGGAAACAGCGAAATAAAATCGTGTTTTAGGTTGAGGTTAATGTTTGGAATAGCAAAGGAAAAGAAAATATGAGATAAAAAATATATACATGAGATAAATTTTTCTTTTTGATTGAGAGATAAAGGGAAGATGGAAGTCACACTTTAAAGGAGACGGCTGAAAAAAAATGAAAATATGAAAATATGAAATATGATTTTGTCCTGGATGACATTAAGGCGACAAAAAGGAAACGAAAAAATAATATCAAAATTGCTCTTATGAAGAAAAAATATATATCTATCTATATTTTTAATATCTATCTAAAATATATAATTATACTTTCAAAATTAATGAAATCAAAATTCAACAATAATAAATACCTAGCCCAGAAAAGGAAAAGAGTTTTATTTTGATAAGGACTTCAGCTCAGATCAAAATAATAATCTAAAAAACATATATATTTACATTTTTTGACTAATCCAAGAAAATGGCAAAAAAAATCGCATAAGAGGAAAATAAAACAAAGAAACAGAAAATTAGCTTCTGTCTGGGGCTTTCCTTAGGTATGTGATCTTGTGTGGGTAATCTTAGATGCCTTTGCATTTGATCTCTCTCTCCCCTTCTCTCTGTCTCTGTTTCTCTCTGTCTCTCGATCGATCGCTCTCTCTCTCTCTCTCTCCTCTCTGTCTCTGTCTCTCTCTGCCTCTCGATCGATCGCTCTCTCTCTCTCTCTCTCCATCCCTCTCTCTCTCTCCATCCCTCCCCCCCCTCTCTCTCTCTCTCTCTCTCTCTCTCTCTCCCTCTCTCTCTCTCTCTCTCTCTCTCTCCATCCCTCTCTCTCTCCATCCCTCCCTCTCTATCTCTCTCTCGATCGCTCTTTCTCTCTCTCCCCCTCTCTCTGTCTCTCTCTCTCTCTCTCCCACTCTGTCTGTCTGTCTGTCTGTCTGCCTGCCTGTCTGTCTGTCCGTCCGTTCGTCTGTCTCTCTCTCTTTCTCTTTCCATGTGTGTCTTTGTCACAATTTTTTTTCTCTCAACAATTTCGTTTATCATAGGAGGGGGGGGGGGAGGATCGGAAAAGTGTCAAAAACTGTAAAGGGAGGGAGAGGAAGTGCCAAGCAATGTCCAGGAGAGGGGAGGTGCCAATCCATACCCAGAGATTAGGAGGTACCAAGCAATGGCCAGACGAGTTATACAAAAAAAGGTGGTTCTATTAACATCCATTACATCTATTAATTAGTTCATATTTTATTTACTATCAATATCTATCATCATATCATATCTACATCTTCCACTAGTAGGGGACAAGGTAGGAGGCACACCTATCAATATAATTACCTCTTCCTCGGTGATGGTGAACTGTGGATCGGTTCGCATGGAGGGAAGTGCAGGCGATGTATATCCCATGGCTAAGGAGGCCACGAGAGTCGCTACACCCACGGCTGTAGCGGCCATCACCTGATGCAAAGAGAGAAAATAAAAAAATAAAAAGGATAGATTTTATTCCGGTGTTCTTGTGTTTTTTTCAGCTGTGTTCGAAGACCCTGTCCCTGTCTCGTTTCGATTTTGAAATTGAAAAAAAGAGGAGAGCTACGGTAAAAAAAAAAAAAAAAAAAAAAACTTAGTTCGAATTCAAGAGTGAATGTCGAAGCATGTGTTGGGGATTCGTTTCAAAGGATTTTTTTTTTCGTTGGGTTCTTTTGTACGTTTGGTTTCAGAATCAAACAGCCGGTGTTTCGTTGTTTTTTCTGAATCCATACTATGAATATCTTTTGTTTCGGGATCCAAGCGTGTGTGTGTGTGTGTGTGTGTGTGTGTGTGTGTGTGTGTGTGTGTGTGTGTGTGTGTGTGTGTGTGTGTGTGTGTGTGTATGTGTGTGTGTGTGTGTGTGTGTGTGTGTGTGTGTGTGTGTGTGTGTGTGTGTGTGAATAGATAGATGGATATATGGGTTGACAAATGTAGGTGTTTATTAGTTTTTGAGTCCATGATATGAATCTCATTCCTTATCAAAATGTAGTCATCAGTATCTGTAATATTAATCACTTTTATGCTTCTTACTCTCACACTGCAGTTCAATTATTTGATTCATAATATACAACTCTCATTAAAGCTGATAACAAATCTAAAGTAAAACTATTCACAAATAACACACACACACACACACACACACACACACACACACACACACACACACACACACACATACACACACACACATATTTAAATTAACCACCTCCTTTCCAATCCCCACTTCGCTAATGACTAAGCAATATGCACTTAATCTTTTCTTAAACAGCAAGAATTATATTTCTTCGTGTTGCTTAGAACATCCTTCCCATCCTCAAAGTTAGATATTAAGACCATAGCTTTCCGAAAACATTCAAATTAATCCTTGCGCTTTGCCTTAAATCTATGAATAACACTTTTGTCTCAGTTCATATATAAATCGACACCTTAAATTACCCTTTGCTTCTTCATCTACGTTTTCCATTCTCTTCATTTCTCTTTTATCATCTGTTTCTCTTTCACTTCTTACTTACATACCACTCTAAAAAAAAAAAAAAAAAAAAAAAAAAAAAAAAAAAAAAAAAAAAAAAAAAAAAAAAACGAGAAGAAAAAAACAAAAGATATTTTTCATTTATATTGCCAAAAAATCATTTAGGTTACATAATGCAATTTTGATATTTATTAACAATTTCAGTCTAAAATGTAAATCTGTTCGTGGTCGTAGACAAGAAAAAATGCGCTATATTAACAGATGGGATTTTAAGTGAAGGCCACTTTTATGGGAGAGATCTGTTATCAGGTTGATAGCGTAGTGGCACGATATATAGCTGTATATAGATTGGAGTTTTTACAGGATTAGATAATGCATATCTTTCTTTCTTTTTTTATTTATTTTTATTTCTCTCTCTCTCTCTCTCTCTCTCTCTCGCTCTCTCTCTCTCGCTCTCTCTCTCTCTCTCTCTCTCGCTCTCTCGCTCTTTATATATATGTGTGTGTGTGTGTGTGTGTGTGTGTGTGTGTGTGTGTGTGTGTGTGTGTGTGTGTGTGTGTGTGTCTATCCCTCCCTCCCTCTCTCTCTCTCTCTCTCTCTCTCTCTCTCTCTCTCTCTCTCTCTCTCTCTCTCTCTCTCTAAAAGCTAAAACGTCTTGAAAAGAAATATATGAGTATCTATAATAGTCTATCCAGGTTGAAAATGTACTTATTGCACTATACACTAACTGAACCACTGAGGTAAAGCAGTGGAAGAAAAACTGATTTCCAAAAAAAGTTTTCCTATTAAGAATGATAAACGAACACCGGATTACGACCCGCAAACGTCTTCCATAGGACCATGAATACCGGAAAAAAAGTATATATATATACATCTGACGACCGAGCACGGAGCCTGGAAGGGGAAATCCGCCATCCTAGGAGCCTATTGAACGTTCGGGAGAGAGGAAATCCTGTCCTTCTGGGAGGCCACGGTGCGGTCTCGGCGTCCAAGTCACGTGACGAAGGCTTCGGGATCTCGTGAGGATTTCCCGGGAAACGAAAGAAAAAGAAAAGAAAAAAAAATGATCAAGAATCTCTCACCTGGTACAAAATGTGCTGTCTTCTCGCAGGCTCCGCCATCGTGTCTTGTAGCTGTGACGGCAACTTGCTGCTTGATTACTGATCTCCCGTCGAGAGGCTAGTTGGCTGTTACCTCCTGGACGACCGCAGTGCGACCGCTGTACGACCGCTGTAACGTGAGTCGTCTTCCCGGTGCAGGCAGGTGTCAGAGCAGCTGCTGGTGCAACATGTTCAAGCACAAGGAACTCTACACGTCACGCCACCTTGCCCCGCCCGTCACGCCCGACGATCGTTACTGTCAAAAAAAAAAGAAAATGAAAAAAAATTCAGATGAAAATTAACCTAAATATAGAACCTCAACCTTCCCTGTTGTCCCCATTATTTCCCATCCAACTTCCACCAAAGGAATTCAAACGTCCTAGAGATCGAAGAAGGGAGCCACAGACGTTTCACAAGAATCGCCTGCTTGGACTTTCCCTCAAGCCGGCCGATCCCTTTCCTCTCTTCGCGTGAGGGGAAGACCAAGCGCCATCCTGCTTTATAAGGTATATTGATATCCCAGGTTTTGTTTACATGCTGGGATGAACGGGGTACGTGTGTACGTGTGAATGTATGTATGGATTTGGGTTCTGAAAAAAAGATGAGTGAGTGAGTGAGTGTGTGTGTGTGTGTGTGTGTGTGTGTGTGTGTGTGTGTGTGTGTGTGTGTGTGTGTGTGTGTGTGTGTGTGTGTGTGTGTGTGCGTGCGTGTGTCCGTGTGTGTGTGTGTCTGTGTGTGTATGTATACGTGGGTGTACGTACGTGCGCGCATGCGTGTGTGTATGTGAGTGTGCCCGTATATGTGTTTGTGTCTGTGTGTGATAACTGTTCAGAAATCACGACCATTCCAAGAGAGAAACTGGAGACACCCAATGAGGAAAAAAACAAGAAATCAAAGCCAAATACACAAAGATTTAATCAGACACTGAAAACCGTGACTTTTAAATACGTAAGGAGGTTTAAAAAGGAATATCTTCCTATGGGGAAAAAAATAAAACATACAGATTTACCTCTTGATAGGGTAGAACACAATAAGCATTCAACATTCACAGCATCTCTACTTGAATGTCACTTGAATACTCTATTGTATTGGGGTATGAGAGTCTTTGTACGTAAAATACACGGATAAAAAGAATCTCCGGGTATGAAACTAAGTTCTGATAAATGAGACAAATCAACGAACGAAAAATGTGAGAGGAAAATACAGAGGATTCCTCTTTTTAAGAAACTATTGAGGCTTAAAGGATATGTAAATGGAAAAGGTGTTTGTTTATGCACTTGTTAGTAATTCCATACAGTTAAGTACAGGACGGAGCCATAGCGTAAGGAAACGAGACCCTGTCCATCTATCCATCTAAATCTGTATATTTAAATGCCTGTCTCAATCTATCTAAATTTGCCTGTTAGTCTCAATCTACCTAAATTTGTCTATGTATCTAAATGTATGCCTGTCTCTCTAAATCTATCTATTTAAATATGCCGGTTTAGCTATATGCCACCGAGACAACTAAGATCATTAAAACACAACTTTGATTAAACAGAAACCTTTTCCACTTTTATTTAGGATCAAATAGGAAAAAATTCTCCCGGATTTTGACTAAAAGGGATTTTTCCCTTTTTTTTTTTTTTTTTTTTTTTTTTTTTTTTTTTTTTTTTTTTTTTTTTACTTAAAGGGAATGTTTATTTCTCTGTCTAGAAGAGAATTTTTATTTTTCTGATTATTGACTATATGGGAATTTTTGTTTCTCTAATTTTGACTAAAGGCGAAGTTTTATTTTTTCCTGATTTTGACTAAAAGGAAATTCTTCTTTCCATGATTTCGACTCAAATGTTGTTTTTTTTCTCTCCCAGATTTTGCCTAAAAAAGGACTTTCATTTCCCTTTTTTGCCTAAAAGGGCACAACTAACATTTATGAGAGTAAGAACTAAAGTACTAAGTTCCTTCGTCAATTGGGGGGGGGGGGGCTTTCACCCTCCCCCAACTACAGACAGAAGCTACAGATTTCACAATACAAGTCAAAAAATAGTGTATATACAGATTTATACGTTAAGATATATACATTAGCATATACATACACGATATAAACAGAACAACAAATATATTACGTCAAGATATATAAGCGATATAAGATATATTACGTTATATATATATATATATATATATATATATATATATATATATATATATATATAGAGAGAGAGAGAGAGTGAGAGAGAGAGAGAGAGAGAGAGAGAGAGAGAGAGAGAGAGATGCGATATACCAAATATATTACGTTAACATATCTATATACACCATATTATACGATTTAAGCAGATATATATACGTTAAGAATTTATAACGTAGAGAGCAGGGTTAACTGAATTACCCCAAGACAACCCCAGATACAGAAAAATAGCGTAATAAAGATGTATACTTTAAGAAAGCTGGGTCATTTAATTAAAAAAGTATCAAAGTATACATTATTATACTGATTGGAAATTCTCCTTTTACTAAAATCGGTTGAATATTAATATAATCACCAGTCTGCTTTGTTCTAAAGGTTTACCATGTTGAATTATGTGTCTGTCTATGGTTGAGTAAGACACGGAGTATTAAATGTATAAATTCTTTATCCAAATAATAAATTCAAACTATTTTAGTTTTAGTTATCAATCTAATAGTAGTGGATTGGGTCGGGTGTTTAAGAATCTGAATATACGGAAACTTTTTTCTTGTTAAAAGTGTCATTTGTTCAAAAGTCCCGGTGCGCGAGTGAGTGTGTGTGTGTGTATGTGTACGTGTGTGCGTGCGTTCACTCACACGTACCTGTAGGTACGTGTCAACATTATACATACATACATACACACGCGCGTGCGCAAATTAATTAATTAATTAATTTATTGAGAGAGAGAGAGAGAGAGAGAGAGAGAGAGAGAGAGAGAGAGAGAGAGAGAGAGAGAGAGAGAGAGAGAGAGAGAGAGAGAGAGAGAGAGAGAAAGAGAGAGAGAGAGAGAGAGAGAATGGAAGGAGGGTAGGGTACAAGAAAAATTATACAACTAAAACATCCCAGTACAAAGTTATACCCTTATCAGTAAGAATACACTATAAATGAGTGTCGTAATCCAAACAACAGACACTTTCCCCTTCAAATAATCCGACCCGCCTTTGGGATAAACATAATATAGAAAAACTTTCCTATGGCAGAATATTGCAACCATATTTTGTAGAAGTGTCAGCTGATGGCGTTGCATGTTCACGTTAGTCCTAATACCGAGACCATATGGCGTTGAGGTGTGCGTGCATTTATTTATATTCCTGCTTGCTGCACGTTTCTTGGCATATATTCATGAGCTAGTCCATTACCTCTGCAATATTGCGATGTCACTTAGATTTTGCGGTGTCACTTAGGTTCATCCCTATGTAAATGTGAAGTCACGAATTTGTCTCTTAAGCTGTACTCTTGTCTCCAAGCTGCCGACTGCGGTGGTACGTTGTCCATCGCTCACACAAGGCTTGTGGGATTTAAACGAAATTAAAATAGTTACTAGCTACTTTTATTCTAAACGTGTCTGTAAATCATTAGAAATTATACCTTCTGTCCCTTATAGAAAAAAATAAAATAAATGAAAATAGAGCTTGGAGCATAAAACATGAGTATACATTTTTCCTTTAAAAAAATAAAAAAAAACGAGCGATCAAGGACGGGACTTCGCTCACCCTATCAAAACGTCACCCCGTTACAGTGAACTCTATTCTTCCAACGGCCAAGCAAAGTCAAGAAGAATTTCCACATTATCGTAGCGATAGTTGTTGCCAAGATCTGTCCCCGTCCACGTGAAACAATGGAATAAGATATGTATCAGTGATATCTATTCACACTCCGTAAACATGGAAGCCATTCACAAGCACAAGGTCACACAGGGAAATAGCCTTTGCTGTTTAGCAAACATGACGCGCGTTTTTTTCAGTAATTAATCTGCAAACATCAAGTGAATCGTGTCTCTCAAGAAGTCATGCTGAGATGCAACGGTGTCGTTTTCGGCCCCTTTTCACAGGTGCAATGATCAGGTTCCCAGTGTAAACAAGACGGATACAAGCTAGTTGCTGTGATGTGTCGTGTCATTCTCTTATATTTTCCCCAAATGGTGTTTTTTCCCAACGTCGCATCCACGCTTCATGTATTTTATATAATTAATATAATCTGTTTTAATATATTTCTCTCATGATAATGAGAGGACACAACAACCAGCCTTGTAGTAGTCGATTGTACATTTAACGCCACACTGCAAATAGTAAAAAACGAAGGGAAGAACAAGAAAACACAAGGACACTCCGTATTGTATGAAGAGAAATACAGCGAAAAGACTAAGGCATATTCGCGTGTTTTCTTGTTCTTCCCTTCGTTGTTCCATCTACAATTTGTTCGACACGAATTCTATACACCAGTGACTCGGCTGTATTGGGCAGACTACTATTGTCTACAGATTGCAAGCACGCTTATAAAAATGTGTATACATGTGTGTGTGTGTGTGTGTGTGTGTGTGTGTGTGTGTGTGTGTGTGTGTGTGTGTGTGTGTGTGTGTGTGTGTGTGTGTGTGTGTGTGTGTGTGTGAGAGAGGAAGAGGGGGAAAGAGAGAGAGAGGAAGGGAGAGAGAGAGAGAGGAAGGGAGAGAGAGAGAGAGAGAGAGAGAGAGAGAGAGAGAGAGAGAGAGAGAGAGAGAGAGAGAGAGAGAGAGAGAGAGAGAGAGAGAGAGAGAGAGAGAGAGAGAGCAAGCGTGCGAGCGAGCGTGCGTGCGTGCGTGTATCCCCATATGATTTCATTCACAGCTCAAGCACCCGTGTTGATGACCTAACAGTCAAAACACATTTAAACACATTCTTAAGCAAAGGCCGAAGAAATTAACAACTCCATACGACTATCAAGTACGTAGAGAAAATCTACAGGCACCAAGAGAATCCTACAGGTGTTCAATATCCAACTTCAGTTTACACATTCACTTGTTCTGCAACAACAGAACCACAATTAAACTTACACTTCACGCAGCAACCTGACTACTACAAACGAAAGAACAAATCTGTAAGAGCCACTTCCACTGCTAAAGCGTTCACGTCGTACAGAGGCCCTCCGCGATGCCAGCCGTATGATGGACCTATAAATTTGGTTCATACATCAGTGCCAAAATGATGATCGGTCGGTATTACTAAAACAAGGAAATTTTACATAGTGGAATACGAATGGTTAATGTTCAAAACAAATTCAAAGATACAGAGAGTATTACAGGTAAGTAGTAACTATACGAACGGTGTACCATAAACACTGCAGCGTTCAGTTGTGATAACACTGCAGTAGACTTTATTATTATTATTATTATTATTATTAGTCTAGGAATTGGTACAATGTGTTC